AGGCGACGAAAACCTAATCCCGATGGCAAACACCGGGGGGGGCGGCTTTTTTTACAACGTCGTTGCCAAGCAACGAAAACCCAACCCCGATGGCAAACACCGGGTGCAGCGTTGGGGGGAGGGGGGGGTTACGTGCCGTAGCGGTAGACGATTGGCCTCATATGCTGGGGTGGAGCGGTATCCCGCGGGGTTTCGCCTGCCCTGGCTATGTTTCATGAGGATGGACCAGAAGCTGGTCATCATGCTTGCGTTTGCCACAGCCAACCCAGATATGCCATGGATTGATTGGAGGAGGGTGTTGTTTGCTTGGGATTCTGGCCATGGTTGGAACAACGCGCGCCTTTGAGACGCAGCGCTGTTGTTTTCTTGTGCTTTCAGAGACTCCCGCCGACCTTCGGTCGCTGAACACTTCGGCGGGGGGGGGGGGNNNGGGGGGGGGGGGGGGGGGGGGGGGGGGGGGGGGGGGGGGGGGGGGTTACTCTGCTAGTCGGATGACCTAGGTTAAACAATGAGACCTTGTACAGAAAAGAGTTGTGAAAATTTTGGCTAGCTGCTTCCATGGAAAATACATTATGTCCAGGGAGGGTTTCTGGAGTCAACTGCGCCATTTTTACAGCATATCCTCGCCCGTCAGGCTAGTTCTGCCGCCATGGGGCAGATTCCGTGAGAGTTTATGGAATGGGAAATAGAAAAAAGTGGGTATACCCGCCCCTTTCTCAGACGAAGCAAATTTTCGAGTACCCACTTTTGTCTAGAAAGGGTTGGGTATCCCCGCTTGTTGTATTTCCCTCATGAAATCAACCGCACCATTTTCGCGGACCATTCCGCTCCCCCGCCACCCCCCAACGCTCCCGGAACCCCCCAAACACAGTTTCGTGGCCAACCAGGCTCACATGGGTGCTCTGCGGGCGGATGATCTTGAGGGAGAGAGGGCTCGGACGGCCGTCCTGCAGGTGATTGGAGAAAACGTAACAAGAAAGTTTGTTCAGAAACTACTGTGTGAATAGGCAACGAGAGTAGGAAACGCGGTATGGAAGGCTTTTTCATCGAACGGCTTGCGGTTGGGTGAAAAGTAAGGGGTTTTTCGTGGAGCGCAAGTCGTCAGGCCACATAACAACAACCACCAGCAACTTAACAACAACAGCTGCAACATCATCGTGCACCTATACTGTATATATTACCATTTTAATTGTTGTTGTCCAGGCCATGGCCCAGTCGGTGAGGGGTTTGAGGCAGAGCGCCGCCCTCTGCGCGTCGGAGGAGCTGCCCCTCACGGTCGACCTGCTGCAGGCCTCGGAGACCGTCGCCGCCGTGCTGTGCAGGTGTGTTAATGTTGCTGCTGCTGCCGCTGCTGGTGCTGGTGCTGCTGCTTGGTTGTTGCTTGCTGCTGTTGCTTGGTTGGTGCTTGTGATGTTGCTGCTGCTGCTGCTGCTGCTGCTGCCGCCGCTGCTGCCGTCATCGTCGTGATCGAATCTTGGGTCACTGTATTCCGTCGTCTTCATTCCGTGGGGTACGGCGCCATAATTTAGTGGTTGCACGGCGGATTTTCCTTGCAGGTTTGGACAAAGCGGACGGCACGTCCCCTTCGTAGCTTTTTTCAAGATGCTGCCGTTTATTGTGTGGTGGGGGTGTCTTAAGCTAGAGATCCATTAAAAGCTTTTCACGAAAAGTAGCACATACTCCTGTGTAACGCTCCCCCTGCGGGGGGACCCTGGCCTACCTGTCTCGAACATATCCCGAAAGTTGTAAAGTGGTGCCAAGACCCAATTGCAGTTGGGCCGAACACGCGCAACTAGATACGTGAAACTTCTTTTGAGTTTTGAATGAATGCGACGCAGGTGCGCAGTATCCCCAAATCACCGTGAACTATCTCATTTCTAAGACAAATTTTCGTGTAGGTGTGAGGGGGGCGACAAGCTGGAGGCCCTCATGGCGGCAGACCTGTCCCCGTCGTCGTTGGGTGCATCCAAGTCTCGATCTTCCGTCGCCGAAGGTCCCGGTAACAAGATCGGCGGAAGCCGGGGGGGCGCCCCGGGCGCCTTATCTCTGTCACGGTCGGAGGAGGAGGAGATGGAGGAGTGGGGGGGTTATCACGCTCTGGGGGGGCTCTACAAGGTGCGCGCTTGGAGAACCAGGACGTTCCGGCATGGTGTGGCGTATGGTGGTACGGAATTTCGTCGTTGCGGGTGGGTGACGGTCAACCTTTCGGAATGTTTTTTGGCTCGGTGCGGTATTCCTTGCATGTCAGTCTCCCCGTCGGAGTGGGATCTTGGGCCCCCTCTGCCCACCCGTTTTGTGCCTGGCCTCTCTCTGCCTCTCCCGGCTCGCGCAGTCTCCAAAATTGCTGGGTTGTAGGTGGGGTAGGCGTTAAGATAGGGTGGAACGCCCGGGGAGGCGCCCGCTGGTCATATTGCTACGTCTCCTGCGCTGTCATTGTCATTGACAAAACTGCACAAGAACAAAAGCCCTCCACGCCCCCCCTTCCCCGTTGTACGCACTCCCGGGGTTTCCACGTTATTTTTTTATTTTTGTCCGCACATAGGGCAATAACATGCATTGCTGTACTAACGAAAAACGACGCAAACGATGCGCACGGCACACAAAAAAAACACGAAACGACAACTGTTCCATGAGCGTAAACCAACACTTTCTCAACATGGCACACGCTCGCTATCTACAACGAAAAATAATAAATACCAGTGGTACCCAGGGGATGGGCGGGTTCTTCCACTGGAGGAGGCCCTGAAGCTGGTGTCCGTGTTCGTGAGGCAGGAGATGAGGCTAAGGGTGGCGTTGGTCGGCGGGGACGCTGTCGCGGCGCCCCCGGTTTCCTTGGCAGGTGTGAAGAAAGGGGTCAAGAAAGCTCTAGCCGGGAGTATGGTATTAATTGGGATGTTTGACCTCCTCTGCTCTTTCCGTGTTTTTTCTTTTTCTTTCTTCCTTTTCGTGTCACTTCCTGCTCTCCCCTTTTCCGTGTTTTTCATTTTCCGCTTATTTTTCTTCGGTTTCGTGTCACTTGCGGTAGGAGTTCCATCTACCACCGAGGCGTCGTTGTCCTCGCGGTGGGAGGCGGGGCTGGAGAGCGCGGCGTCCCCCCTCCTGTCCTTCCTCCAGGGGATGGGGGCCCAGCATCTCTGCGTGAGGGTGGTCGCCGGCATGATGGCGCTGCCCCCTCCCTCAGCGGTGGAGGTGCTTGGCGACGCCTTCTCGGGCTTGGCGGACAAGGTGGGACGCAAACATACGGGTATACCGTGCCACGGCTTCGCGGTACAGTCGTGGCCCCGATATGTGAGGGTGATGTGACAAAGCCCCTTTTTATATCGAAGCCTTGTTTTTTTACCGGAATGAGGGGGTATCCAACTACTCCTGTACTTTTAGCAGGTCGATTCCGTGACAACAACAGCCGATTTTCGACCCAAATGAAACCCCCCCCTTATTAGGTACCAGGTACCCTCTTGTCTCGGATACACAACCGTATGTACCGTTCGCCCTGGTGGCGTGAGTGAGTTTAACGTGGAACACACAGCGGCGCGGCGCCCTCGTTGTGTCCCTTTGCTTTGCTATTCTGCTGCTGCTGTTGTTCTTTTGGGGGGGAAACACCTAAGGTGATGGAATTCAACCACATCGACTGCCCGCTGGCGATCGGCTACATGCTGGCCATGCCCACGAGACAAGCGTATGACACCTTCCGACGGATTATTCGCTACTCCAGCGACGACTACGGAAGGTGAACGAACGGCTGTGAATCTTTCTTTACGCGTGAGGGATTTGGTTTAGAGACTTTAGTAGCACCAAGAAGGTGTGTAGAACGTTTCAGCTGCCGTTGTTTCTCGAGCTTTATTTCGCGCGTTTGCCAGCGAAAGCCTTGACGTTTGTGTTTGTAAGGACTTTCCGCAAATGTCCCCGTACTTTTTCCCGCCGTTAATCCTTTTGCCGTGCCCTGGCAACCCTCTCGGGTCCGCTGGATTGTAGCATGAACTACCCGCCATCCTCTACCCCCTCCCTGCTTGGTGATGTGCTAGCCTGGCCCTGTGAAAACCCGGCGTGCTCCGTGCCGTCTTTGTAGAGATGCGAGGCCAATGGTCTAGCGACTTAGGTATTCACGGCAATGACTACACCCCCACCCGTCTGGATTGGCGTTCAGTCAAAACGCTGGCAGACCGCGCCCTCACGCACAACCTCCTCTCCTCCCTTTTCCGGTAGCCCACCCGGTGACCCCTTCTCACCTGACCTGCGTTGCCTCAATCCGTGAACCGAACTGGTTCGGTCATTTGGCCGCTGTACGCACGGACCTCCCCCGTCTCACTCACGCGTATGCGCGTCGTCCCTCTTTGCGTTACGCGGCGAAGGTTGCGCATCCTGGCGGGAGTCGGCATGTACGCGGCCCGCGCCTGGGACAACCACGACCTCCTGCACCAGTGCATGGAGGTGGAGCGGGACTCGCACTGGTGGCATGTGCTCACGAGTCTCGGCATCACGTTCGACAACCGGGGGTAGGGATGAGCTACAGGATACAGTGGTGGCGGCTACGGTTTAACAGTGGGTTCGGGACAAGCGAACAACACTCTGTGACAGTACATCCGGTTCTCTCTTATACCGTATTGTGTAATACGGGGTAGCTCTCGCGGTCGGGACAAGCGAAAAGCACTCTCTGCTAATCCGATCACCGCTTACATCATCTCTCCATGAACCGTAGTCGGTGCTGAACACGATGACTGGTAGTTGCGGTTTGCGGCGGCGGCGGCGGTGGTGGTGGTCCTTGTGTTGGTGTCGTTTCGGTTGTTTCGCTGTGTTGTTGTTGTTGTTGCTGTTGGTGTTGGTGATGTGGCCCCTGCTGCTACTGCTACTGCTACTTCTGCGTTGGGTCGAATTGAAACTCCACTGTGACGTTGACGCGAGAAGAGAAGGGAGAAAGCGAGGGTGGGGATTTTTCTTGGAACTTTCCGACCACTCCACCCGCCGCCATTCCTGCACCAGTACAGCAGTTCACGCGTCTGAACAGATCCTTTCGGTTCCAGGGTTTGGCAACAAGGTCCACCCCCTGAGGTATCTCACGGAAACCCCTGCCCCCTCCCTCGTTGCAGGCGACAGTAACAGGCTGCATCCGGTCTAAATAGCAATAATAACTGCGTGTATATTTGCTTGACGACGACAGCACGAACCCTTAATTGTGCGAGAGACCCGCGCTGCACTACATCTCCCCTCCCCGCCCCCCGACCACTGCTGCCAACCCATCCACGCCCTTCCCAATGCCGTTGATGTTGGGCCCTTGCCCCCTTGCTTGCGAAACAGCTTCTCGAGGGCGGACAGGTCGCAGGTGCCGGGGGAATACCAGAAGTCGCTCGTGCCGGCTTTACTGGAGAGGTCGGGGTGCGACCTCGGCCTCGCCCTGGAGTTCTGCGAGCGCTACGGCGTGGGGGAGGCGTTCCCCTGCCTGCTCTACGTTGACAACCAGCTCGGGCTGCCGTGTGTTTCCCCGCATGACGTGTCCTATCAGGTCTGTTTTCGTTGTTTTTGCTTGTCTAAGACCGTTTTTCGTTACATCTTTCTTTCGGTTGCATGTGTTGTGTCGGATCCTGCATTGTGTTGGGTGAGGATAAGGGGTCTCAATGTGGTGGATGGTCATCGCTAAACACCGCATCTAACTCAAAACGCACCGTTCTCGGCCGTTGTTGTACGGTTTCTTGGCCGTACTGTCCGTTTCTTGGTCTTATTGTACGGTTTCTTGGACTTACTGTCCGTTTCTTGGTCTTATTGTACGGTTTCTTGGCCTTGTTGTACGGTTTCTTGGCCTTTTGCACCGTTTCTTGGCCCTGTCGTACTGCTCATAGCCATCGGTTCGAGCCATGTTGCCACTGGACGTACTCATTCCAACCTATCATCTATTCTGTAGTATTGTAAATATATTCTATCCCTCAGGCGTTATGTGGCTGTGTGCTGTCTGAGGGGGCGCAGGGGGGGGGGGG